AAAAAAAAATTGCAAATACAAATTTAAAAGAGAAAGGAAAAACACAGACCTTAATATGGCTTAATACAGTTTTGATTCATTGTTCTACTGTTTTGGGCATGTACACCAGATCTACGCCAAAATGATGAAAATCCACTCCAAGGCTTGCAGTACGATTGCTTACAGCCACATAAAAGGAGTAGGGTGGAGTGTCCAATTAGCTACCTAATGCTCAGAGATCACATTCTGCAAATGCAGAACACCTTACCCTAAAAGGAGGTTAGTTTGATTTAAATAGGGGTGCTCCAACTCCTGAACATTGTTGGTTGTTCCTCTGCTTCAGATAATTCTTCAAATGGAATGCATTTCAGAAACATAAAATCATGGGTGAAGTAGACAGACATCATCATTTATCTAGATATGTGCTCTGACTCCTTTTAAAAACAGTGCTAGCACTTTTATTTCCAATCCATATTCTATTCCTCCAAACACTTATTAAACTGAAACCAAATCACTGCTGCTAAGTAATACAGACCATTTGCCAGCACAAGGAAACAATGCACTATGATTAATACAGAAATTAAAGAACAAAATCTGCACTTCTCCTGCAGGTGGATACAGAGAAACAGGAGCATGAAGTATGATTTGGACCTTATATTTGAATTAAATGCCATGGATCCTTAACAAACCATTACCAGAAGCCTCATTTTTTAAGGATTTATTTTTATAAAAATCTTACATGAGTTTAAAGAGTTAGTTAGTCCTGATACTTATATTACCCACAGAAGCTGATCCCCATCCCTCATTTCTTCTTTCTAGAAGCAAGCACATAAAGTTTTTAGCTAATTCTTTGGTATTTAACCTCCACATCTTTAAATAACATATTGAATTGCTACTTTTTGATTTTTTTAGTTTTGGGTAATTTTGATTGGCTTTCCACTCTGAAAGATGAACATTAGCATTCTTTTTTTTTCCTGTATCTAATATACCCTCCACATTATCAATGTAATTATACAGTAATTTTGGGTATATCAATTATGAGTGTTTTAATAATATACTATTTCATTTTCCCTGGAATTATTTTATTTTCCCATAGGCTTAGTTTTCTATATACTTATCATTAATTCTTTAAACTCTCCATCAGTTGTCTAATCATCAAGCTCATCACTTTAGCTGTTCAATCAATTTCATCTCCTATAAGAACTTTCCCACCCTGACTCCAGCAGCCTTCTGACTTGTTCCAACATGGATCGCTGCTCTTTGAAAATAGACCACTGGGGGCTGGGCTCTCATGTCACCATACTAGGAATTCCTGTGTTCCTGTTGGATTTTTTGTTTCCTGGTTCCTATGTTGTCTTCTTTCTTAATTTAAATCCCTTGTTTTGGTGAAACACATCTTCCAATGGTTTCAGAGGAAAGGTATGTAGTATATAAATTTCTGAGATGTTTATGTTTGACAATGTCTTTATTGTAATCCCGCGATTGATAGTTTGACTGGATATAGAATTCTATATTGAAAATAATTTTCCCTCAAATTTTTGAAGGCAATACTCCATTTTCTTCTGTCTCCCAGTGTTGTTTTGAGACATTTGATAGCTATTAATTCAGTTTTTTTTGTATATAAACCCCCTCTCCACCTCTCTCTCTAAGTCTATAAGATGTTCTCTTTATACCCATTATTCTAAAATTTCACATTGATATGCCATAGTTTGGGTCTATTTTCATCCATTCGGCTAGGCGTTTGACAGACCCTTCCAATTTAGAAAATTATGATGTACTTTAGTTCTGTGATACTTGAGTTATTTGGCAATTCCTCCTGTTTTTCTCTTTCTAGAACTCTTAAGCTAGGACCCAAAGAGAAGAAAAACGCTGAGCTGCATTTTCCTTTTCTGCTATAGTTCTGAAAGACTGCATGTGTTAAATTACTTATATTGTTTTTAAGCTATTATATATCTTTAGTGAGAAAAACTACACAAATTTCTGCTATTTAACATTTTTATTTTAAAAAATTGACAAAAATTAACACTAGCATTTAGTGATATGCCATATTCAGAAGTGTGATATGGACTTGATATTTACTTGTGTCAATAAAAATAGTTCTATGTGATTTGTTAACTCATGGGCAATAAAGCCCCACTGAAAAAAGAAAAAGTATTCTGGGGCATACATGTTCTGCTTCAGTGTTGATGTATACCTAGCTATTACATGGGCATACAGACTCATGATACAAACTCTAGAAATTTTAGTCAATAAAGGAATATTTCTCTTTTATCCTTTCTTCCTCCAAATGGAGAAAGGGCAGTAACAGCTGGGAACAGAGTTTGAAATTGGGCTAAATTAAATTGGGTACATATCCATCTTGTAGTGTAGACCAGAGATACGAAGCTGAATTTAAGTTGTCTATTCAATCTCCCAAATAAATCCTGATACCTTAATATGGGCAACTCATACTAAATGGTGTTTATGTTTCTGTTACAAAGATTTGACATTATCAGGGATTGTGACATAATTCATATCATAATTATGACATAATATTTCATATACAAAAGCCTACATCCCATTTTAATAATGGAAAACAGTAACTTGTGAAGCAGTAAATAAATGTTCTTTCATTTTTCGTCTTATTTGAATGATGAAAATGAGACAGTTTGAAAAAGAATACAGTAGAGGAGAAGCAGAGGAGGAGAGAAGAAAACTTCACAAATACCAGCAGATGACCCACTGAAAATGAATGACTTTTAAAAATTAACTCTGATAAGAAATCTCTATTCTTTTAACTTGAAGTCAAAGCAAAAGTAAGTACTGAAATCAAGATTTTAATGTGTAGTATATAAGAGCATGAGCTTTTTGTTAGAAAATACAAGGTTAGAGTCTTGGTGCTTTTGTTTATTTACTTACAAAATAGGGATAATTAATAGATGTATCTTTTTGTTGCAGCTATTATATATATTCAGCTATGACAAAACATCATATGGCTTCATTATCCCCATAATAAACAATTTATTATGAACATGGATGGCAGATTCAGATCAGGAGTTGTAACTTTCTATCAAGAATCATGGGAAGGAAGGAGAAAAAAAAGGGTACTATAATTGACAGAGAGGAAAAATAAAACAAAGAAAGAGATGGGAGTGCTGGGTTCATTAGTCCTCTGTTATGACTGAGGTGTTTCCAGGACTGGTCTGTTCTTGCCTGCCCTCTGATTTTCGATGGTTTTTCACAGGTTTTTCTAATGCTATTACAAATATATTCTTATGAAAAAGTCCCTTATCATTTTAGGGATTTTGTAAAAAGAGGAGGAAGAATCATAGTCTGATAGATTCCTTTTCACCTGATAATGTAATAAATTATTTAGTCCTTTATGTTTGCCCTGGAAATACAATACTTGATTTCAAGACCATCCCTTATGTAAAAAATACTAAAGTCAAGAGGAGATCATTTTAAAATATTCAACTCTATTAAATAATATACAAGTGTAAACTTTAAATCGTAATACATAAAATAATTAGTAAAACAAAGTAGCTCTCAACTATAAATAATACAATCATAAGATATAATTGGATCTACGTTTTTTAACATTGAAAGAAATATCTACAATGCTTCAAAAATACGTATAAACTAATATAATCTAAATGGATACCCAACTTGTTAACATCTAAAGGAAAATTTACTTTAGGTACATTAATAACTTAATTACATTAGTGGTTCATGACCAGCACTTACCAAGTTCTGCTAAATTGCCAAATGCAACAAGACACATTTCTGTAAGAGCTGCATTTTGGCAGTGGATACCCAGTAATTTCACTAAGGTAGGAATAACACCCATATTGATAAGCTGAGCTTGAAGGGAATCTGCAAAAACAAATAAACAAAAAGTGTTCATGTACCAAACAGACATTAAAAAGAAGAAAACACCCCTTATTCTCTCTATTGCAAATTCAATACTATTTAAATTACAGTAAAGCAAGATTAAATCCATTCATATATTGTCTTGAAAATTTTTAACACATTAGTTCAGATAAGTTGAGTTTTGAATCTTTTTGTGATTAAAAGAAATTTAGAAATAAAAATAATTTAAGTACGTCAAACATTAGTTGTTTTTTTTAAAACAGGGTCTTATATATCTTTACAGCATATACTTTAAAGATGTATAAACATTACCATTGGTTTTTAAGTGAAAAGGTTAGACAAAGTAACATTTGCATTAAGGAAATCACAATATATGAAAGCATAAGGAAAAAAAGCAAGTTTAATAAAGACCAAGAAAGAAGACAAAAATCTTAGAATCCCTTAATAAAAAATGAAAAGTATATAATACGCAAAAATTATTGTTTGATTAATTGCAGCAAAGCATTCTTCGATGACTAGGAAGAAAAGTAGTTTTAACAAGGCAAAAAAATGGGTAACTTAAAATATTTTTCTTTTCATATTTTTACTTAATAATACTGACAATCATCTTAGTAAAGAAAAGAAAATTTGGCTTGAGAGGTGAAGAGAATGAGGTCAATATGGCTTTGTCATCATTGCTTGTCTTCAGTTTCTGAGAAACAAATTGGTTTTAAAGTACTTATTATGCCTTGTATTTCCACAATGGCTCTTCACCAACAGTGATAACAGAATACCTGTAACAAAGTTGAAGGGAAGTAAACAAACCAAAATGCAAACCGAAAGTACTGCCTCTTAAAATAAGCTAAGGAAGGAAGACACAAATACTCATATGCCTATGCAAAATTACTAAGTTACTGTTATAACTGGTTCACCCATAGAAATGATTTCAAAATTTGCTTTTTTTTAAAACAATGATATGCCATCTTGAAGAAAATATTTTTCTCCAAATTCTATTAAGTTAGTTATTAAGAATCAAAAGATAAAAATCTGTTTCTTACAAAACACATTTTCCTCATAGCATGCGTGCATCCCCTGACAGTTTGCCTACTAATCATTTTATCACTCTTCATAGTTCTTAACCTATAGATAAGGAGGTGGCTGGGTGATTTCAGAAAAGAACATAAAAGACAGGGTTGAGCTGTCTCACGTGCCAGCTGATTACTTGCTTGATGGTCTTTATTTTTTTCTGCTTTTAGAGTGATGTATGAAGAGATAGCCAACAAAAAGCTTATGCCCCTGAAAACTGATGAATGGGTAATTACAGATATCATCTGGTTCAGTTGTGGGAGCCCATCTCTACCAGAAAGGGTACTATTACCAAAACAATAGAAAACAGGCCTGAGAAAAAGGAAATTTACATCTGGAGTTCAAATAGTCTAAAACAATGACAAATTTTGCAAATGAATTATGAATTCTGTTCTAAAAAGAGATAGAAATAAAAGAATATATTCAACTATATGATTTTTTAATGTTCAATATTTTTTTCTAACTATACAATTCAGCAATTCACAATACGTATCTTGTAGGCAAATTACTTGTTATAGGGTATAGTATTATCTATGGGTTATATTGGCAGACTACTTGTATAATGGTTATGGTATTTATAATGATCATGCACCAAGAAGCTTTCCATGTTAGAAATTATTTCGATTACTTACCAATAAATAGAGGTCCTTAGTATTGGATCACCTCTGCAGATCTTTGTTCTTTAGCAGTATTTTAAACTTTCATTTATTTGTTTATCTTTTTACTTCTTCAAATATGACAGAACTGCTGAATCATTAAATTTCAGGTATGTAAGCGTGAGCACTAGCGCATGCATTGAGTGTGAGTCAAACTCTACTATATGTCTGCATATATGTAAGCATCACACACCCCCTCAGCACTGTTGGCACAAACTATAAAAGTCCAACAGTCCAGGGACATCAGAGGAATAATAAATTTTATGAAAGAGCTAACTCAACAGGAGAATGCCACTTAGAAGATGCTGTTCTCCATGTTCTCCTAACTTGGCATCTCTACCACTTTATTGGACTGCTTTTACAATATTATGAATTTTGTTCCAGGGAAAAGAGGGACAAAAAGTTAAGAAATGTTGCAGAGTTTCATACAATCTTTGGCATAGAAATTAAAGCAGTAATGTTTGAAATTGTGGTAGACCAGGAAAAAAAATTGCATAGCATGATGGCATATGGTGTGAATCGCTATAATTCATGAAAATCATGTTGCTTCATGAAAGTGTGTTTTAAAGCTACCCAGGAGGCAAATTAACTGTATATTCACATACAACACACATACCACACACGAGTATAAAGAGAAAAACAGTCATCCAACAGACAGACTCATTTTAGAGGACTTGGGTGTTTTCTTTAATATCCAATTCTATGATGTTAATGAAACAAGATTCATACTCAAATTTATACCAATTGTAAGCAAGTTGTATTTCTGGGATAATGAAGGCCCAGAAGAGGAAAAAAAACTTGATTCATAGGTTGATACAAATTCTCATTTCAAGGTAAGCAGGCTTCCTAGTACATGGTTCTCAAAGTGGGATCCCCAAAATCCTTTAGGAGGACCAGAGGATCAAACGTCAAAGCTACTGTCATAAAAATGCCCGGATTTTATTTGCCTTTTTCACTGTATTCACATTTGCAATGATGGTAGAACAATGGTGGGTAAAATTGCTGGGGCTTTAGCATGAACCCAGTCAGTGGCACCGAATTCTATTAGTAGGCATTATATTTTTAACCATCACACACAATAAAATAAATGTTATTCTAAGCATTTTTTAAAATGTTGAAAATATTATTTATGCTAACATATGGGTTTTTATTATTTAAAATGCATTACAAACTTTTTAAATGTCTCCATTTTAATTTCTAATACAGTAAATATTGACAGATATAATCCATAAAAAACAAAAGTTCTCTGAGGTTTTTAGTAATTTTTAAGTATCTAAAAGAGTCCTGAGACCAAAAGTTTAAGAACCACTGCCAAAGGATTACCTAATTTATATAAGAAATCGGGGGGAAAAACCATAGAAAAGAGATTCTGAATTTCAGTGATGTGCTTGGCATATGTGATGATGATAATAATAATAATAACAATAATATATTATATATATATATTTCAAAACATGCTAGGAATCCTATACTTTGGTGCTCAGATATGTTGGACAAAATTACATTAAGCATTCATCTTATTTTGCTAATTTGAGTAGAAACTCTACTCAAGCCTAGGAGAATATTCCATGATTGAGTCTGTTTGCCTATTTCAGTTATAACTTACTATGTTATCAATAAATAATTTGGGAGGGGGGGCTAAGAAGGGGTCCTGTTTGTGTGGAATAAATTAGTATTAATTCTTAATGCTGAAAGCAAATGATTAAGTTTAATAATTTTTAATTGCCCAATGAAAGGTTGTGAATGGACTTCAAAGGATAGTAGCCGACACTCATGCTGTCATGAATGGCATCAGGAGTATGACTTTTAAATTAAAGACTAACTGGAAGAAATTCTTAAAACCAGAAATATTCATTCTCCAGATACAGTTGAGAGAGCAGGCAAAACAATGCAAGATTTAGACTTTTTGCATCCCTCAGTGAATACCAGAAATTCCAGGGGAATGTTTATCAGAGCTCAACAAACAATTCACAAAAATGCAGTCCAGGCCCATACACAGCAACCAGTTATGTGTGACAAGCTAGACAGCACAATGTCATAAACATCTGAAGACATTTTAAAACTGCTCCTGACACATATCACAGACAAATACTGACCAAAATACAGAATTACAGAATTACATAATATCAAGGTGACACAGGCCCTACATGATCTATGCGGAGGAAGAGGAAGAAAGGCACCGAGGGTGTGCAATACAGATGCATATACAAAGAGATATAAGGCAATCAACGCATGCGCTGGTGTGAACACTTACCTACCTACATTTGAATTTCAATGGTTCCATGCTCCTCAGGTCACACTCATGGAAACTCCAAAGAGATCTGGAGAGAAGATCTCAAGTTGAAGAACCTTTTTCCCCCTGAGTTTTAAGTTTAATGTTTAAAACATTGGTATAGACAGATTATAGATCCAGAAAAGTATGTCAAGAATTCCAGTAACTCAATTGATGTTGATGTTGAAAAGGTTTCTTAAGAAGCTTATAATATGTGTTAATCTTATTCCTAAGAAAAGCTATTACAGACAATGTTGTAAGATTATTATGAAGCTTATTGGTAAATAGGACTTAATGATGAAACTGTGTCAAAATAAAATGCACACAATTCAAAATACACAGTCTTTACACAGGTATGTACACATGGTGTTATTCATAGTATAAAAAGTATCCTATTTACAGGTGTGCATAAAAACCCCAATCTACAGTCAAATGAATTATATATGGTAGAAACAATAAAAACAAGCAAATATAAATCTGATGAGAAGTTCTAATACAAATTGGATAAAAATCATTTGGGTATAAACAAGACTTAAGAAAACTGCCCTTGACTAATGGCACATGGTTATTCCCAAAAAAAGATAAAAATTAAAAATTAGAAATGATATAACAGTGAAGTAGAACTTATGGGTTTAAACAAGTTGTAGCTCTATTATAACAATGAAAAGTAAACAGATTTAAATATAGCTACTAAGGGGATGCTTGTAGTTAAAAACTTTATACACATACCAGTGCAAGTATCTTTTTTTTGATTGATAACAAAAGTGGATAGCTGTTATTCTAAACCTAGTGTTAAGCATATAAACCTGAAAATATTTACATGTGATTAAACTTAACTTCAAATCAATTATTTTAAAAGCCCTCTTTATACAAAACATGCACTGTATGTTTTGCACCAAGATTACCTCATAATTTAAGCCCCAAGTTGTACATTTCAATTACAAATAGAAATTTCAAAGAAAAAAATAAAGAGCATCAAGATTCATTAGTATTGAGAATATTGGAGATTT